CGAGGTCAAGAGATCGAGACCATCCTGGTCAACATGGTGAAACCCCGTCTCTACTAAAAATACAAAAAATTAGCTGGGCATGGTGGCGCGTGCCTGTAATCCCAGCTACTCAGGAGGCTGGGGCAGAATTGCCTGAACCCGGGAGGCGGAGGTTGCGGTGAGCCGAGATCGCGCCATTGCACTCCAGCCTGGGTAACAAGAGCGAAACTCCGTCTCACAAAAAAAAAAAAAGTGGGTCATCACTGACACCTGTTAAGCCTATGACCACATAATTTCCTTGCTAGTTATCAAGTAGACAGAATTTGTTATTTATGCAAGCATAGAACGTATTGGACTCTGCGGGATATAGAAAAAACTTCACTGGGCTGTTCTATTTTATAGCTACTTCAAACTACCATCTCATATTTTACCTATCAGTACCTTATTATTCTTAGTAGCACTCATTAGAACTTCCAAAATGATCAAACTGGCATAAAGCTTATTCCACTAACTTCGAAATGGGTCCTTCTACTTACATAAGCTGTGTACTAGCCACTACACCTAGTCATGGGAAATACTCAACTTCTACTACACTGCCCAGTCACTTTAACCTACAATGTTTCAAATGTACTTGTCAGTTAATTTGAAAGGGAAATTTCAAGGTTTCTGAGATTCACTTAATGTTGGTTAACTACATCAACTTTTCAATGCAACACAAGGACTCATTATAGCATTTGGCCTTCGATGACAGTAACATGCTGTATCTCTCCAGGGTGTTGCAGTGAAAACAGCCCTCCATAGCTTAGAGTCAGATTCCCTCCCCTTCAAAATACATGGCAGAGCAACCCTATCCCTGAAGGAAATGTCAACATTCTCACCAAGTTTCAGCTGATTCATAATACCAGAAGTAGGCATCTTCCACCTAAGCATTTTGTATCGGCCAAGAGAACACACAATTTTCTCATTAAACTTTTTTAATGGGTCTCAAAATTCTGTGACAAATTTTTGGTCGTTTCCATTAAAAAGTACTGATTTTAAAAACTAATAACTTAAAACTGCCACAAGCAAAAAAGAAAACCAAAGTGGTCCACAAAACATTCTCCTTTCCTTCTGAAGGTTTTACGATGCATTGTTATCATTGACCAGTCTTTTACTACTAAACTTAAATGGCCAATTGAAATAAACAGTTCTGAGACCGTTCTTCCTCCACCACTGATTAAGACTGAGGTGGCAGGTATTAGGGATAATATTCATTTAGCCTTCTGAGCTTTCTGGGCAGACTTGGTGACCTTGCCAGCTCCAGCAGCCTTCTTGTCCACTGCTTTGATGACACCCACAGCAACTGTCTGTCTCATATCACGAACAGCAAAGCGACCTGTTAAAAAAAGAGTCAGCATTACCAAAATACTGTTTGTTCACAGGTACTTTTATCTTTAGCACAAATTAGTCAAACTTACCGAGAGGTGGATAGTCTGAGAAGCTCTCAACACACATGGGCTTGCCAGGAACCATATCAACAATGGCAGCATCACCAGACTTCAAGAATTTAGGGCCATCTTCCAGCTTTTTACCAGAACGGCGATCAATCTTTTCCTTCAGCTCAGCAAACTTGCAGGCAATGTGAGCCGTGTGGCAATCTAGTACAGGGGCATAGCCAGCACTGATTTGGCCTGGATGGTTCAGGATAATCACCTTGGAAAAAAGATTTGCTTTCAGTACAAATCCAAAGTCTCGAATGACTTTAGGCTCTGCAATAAGAACCTGTTATTTTAAATTGTTACCTGAGCAGTGAAGCCAGCTGCTTCCATTGGTGGGTCGTTCTTGCTGTCACCAGCAACGTTGCCACGACGAACATCCTTGACAGACACATTCTTGACATTGAAGCCCACATTGTCCCCAGGAAGAGCTTCACTCAAAGCTTCATGGTGCATTTCAACAGATTTCACTTCAGTTGTAACGTTGACTGGAGCAAAGGTGACCACCATACCAGGTTTGAGAACACCAGTCTCCACTCGGCCAACAGGAACAGTACCAATACCTAAGAATATTTACAGTACGCTGTAGTAATTAGGTGAAAGCAGATGGCACTTTTACCAACTCCAATTCAGTGTATTATCAACTTACCACCAATTTTATAGACATCCTGGAGAGGCAGGCGCAAGGGCTTGTCAGTTGGACGAGTTGGTGGTAGGATGCAGTCCAGAGCCTCAAGCAGCGTGGTTCCACTGGCGTTGCCATCCTTACGGGTGACTTTCCAACCCTTGAACCAAGGCATCTGAAACAAGCATGCCGATTTGTGTTAGCATGAAATCGCCATTCCCAGAGCTTTTTAACAATGGTTTTGAAAGCCACTTACGTTAGCACTTGGCTCCAGCATGTTGTCACCATTCCAACCAGAAATTGGCACAAAAGCTACTGTGTCGGGGTTGTAGCCAATTTTCTTAATGTAAGTGCTGACTTCCTTAACGATTTCCTCATATCTCTTCTGGCTGTAGGGTGGCTCAGTGGAATCCATTTTGTTAACACCAACAATTAGTTGTTTCACACCTAGTGTGTAAGCCAGGAGGGCATGCTCTCGGGTCTGCCCGTTCTTGGAGATACCAGCTTCAAATTCACCAACACCAGCAGCGACAATCAGGACAGCACAGTCAGCCTTTAAAGCAAGCAAAGACATCCCTGTCAAAAGCTCTCCAAAGGACAAAATAGGCCTTTCCAAAAAAAAAAAAAAAAAAACCCGGAGTTATTAATCCCAACCTGAGATGTCCCTGTAATCATGTTTTTGATGAAGTCTCTGTGTCCTGGGGCATCAATGATAGTCACGTAGTACTTGCTGGTCTCAAATTTCCACAAGGAGATATCAATGGTGATACCACGTTCACGCTCGGCTTTCAGTTTATCCAAGACCCAGGCATACTTGAAGGAGCCCTTTCCCATCTGTAAGGATTAAGAGTTACTTGGTTACTGAAACACAAACTCTATAGCTTCAATTTCCTTGCATTCCCTCCCTTAATTGGCATGTAGCAGTTTCCACTTTACAACTTCAGGTCCTAAGTGATTTGAGTCAATTAGGTAATCAATAAAGCTACAGAAGTAACCAAAAAGCAAACTTTTAGTAGGATCGTAACTATTAACATTCAGAACTAAACTGCTCACTATCAATAGTTACAGAAATAACCAAAAGCAAAGTATGATTTCCTAAGCAGAGTAACTATTAACATTCAGAACTACTCACTAGTTCTGGGGAAATCAACGGTCCTACTGTTAAAACTCATTTTAGTTGGTATTTCTTTCTGGTATTAAACATACCTCAGCAGCCTCCTTTTCAAATTTTTCAATGGTTCTTTTGTCGATGCCACCGCATTTGTAGATTAGATGGCCAGTAGTGGTGGACTTGCCCGAATCTACATGTCCAATGACGACAATGTTGATATGAGTCTTTTCCTTTCCCATTTTGGCTTTTAGGGGTAGTTTTCACGACACCTGCAACAGCATAAATAAAAACTTTGAACCACTGTTCGAGGCTTGACAATAAGCCAAGATCCAAACTCAAAAAGGGCAAATTCCAAGGAGAATTATATGGTGTGCCAAGCTGGCCTAACTCTTCAGTCTCCACCCACTAAGTGTGGGGAAACTCCATCGCATAAAACTCCTCCCCCCAATCTAAGACGTACTCCAAACGCTGGGAAAACGAATCGAGGTGCCAGAACGGCCGTGGTACTCCGTGGGGTCACAGGAAGCGGCGGCCGAGGAGGAAAAGGCCCTTTTCCTTTGTGTGGGTGACTCACCCAGCACGCTCTCCCCGGCCGCCGCGTCCTCCATTTTGAGTTCCCTGCAGCAGGGCCGGGAAGCGGCCATCTTTCCGCTCACGCAACTGGTGCCGACCGGGCCAGCCTCGCCGCCCAGGGTGGGGCGACGCAAGGCCGGCCACCAGAGCAGGCCGGCCGGCTTGAGACTGCCCCCGTCCGACTCTCCGCAGCCACTCGCAGGCCCCGCCTAGCTGAACATGTGCGCTGGGACTGACGGGCCCCGTAATCCCCCGCGGTACCCCACAGTCCCAAAAACCGAAACACCAGTGTACAGATCCTGGCCCGCATTTACAAGACTGTCTACCCAGAAAAAAACGTTCGCAGGTGGTCATCAGGAATTTTAAATGGCTACAAACTTAGCAAAAACAGCGGGGCAGGCGCGAAGGTGCGACCAGATTCGCACGCGGTGGCCCGAGCGCCCAAACCAGGCCTCAACTCAAGCACGAGGCGAACGGGCTCCTGGAGAAAAGCGGAAGGCCTCGAACTCTCCTACCCACTTCCAACCCGAAACTCGGAATCAACAATCACGTACAGTGGCCAGCACTGTGGACGTAATGAAAAGCACACGAGGGCCATAGTCCGTAAAGAGGCCAGTCCCGCGGAAACCACACACGGCACTTACCTATGTTCTGGCGGCAAACCCGTTGCGAAAAAGAACGTTCACGGAGACTACGGCACTTATATATGGTTCTCCCCACCCTCGGGGAAAAGGGCGGAGCCAGTACACGACACCACTTTCCCAGTTTACCCCGCGCCACCTTCTCTAGGCACCGGTTCAATTGCCGTCCCCTCCCCCCAACTTCTCGGGGACTGTGGGCGATGTGCTCTCAGCCCACTGACGCGCACCGGAGCCTCGCGCATGCTCTTCTCCACCTCGATGATGACAAGAGCGGGCGGGTTAGGGGGCGGGAACGGAGCGATCTCCGGGTTCTAGGTTAGTGGGAGTTTAACGACGGTCCCTGGGATTCCCCAAGGCAGGGACGCGTCCTTCTTTTGTATGAATTACTTTCAGCTCCGGCCGTGGGGGGGTGGGGCGATGGGGAGGCGGCCTGGAAGGGACGTCAAGAATCTTCCCTCTACCACGGCTGGCTTAGCTCCAAAGGTTGTGTCGAGATTAGGGTGTATCTTTGCCCCTCAGTCCGCCTCCTGTCCTCAGCCTTGCCATCTCCCTAGTCCGGGACAAATCCCTAGAGCGTCTTCCTCTGCCGGTCGCAGCCCAGCCCCGGGTTGGCTCCTCCTCTGCCCCGGCTTCCGCGTCCCTCCCTTGTAGCGAGGAGTACCAGGCCCGGGGACCCTGAAGGGCTTGGGGCGAAAGGTCCGGACCGGGGGCTTCCTTCACAGCTCACCGACCCGCGAGAGGTTCGGCTCGATGGCCGTGAGCACAACGAATCCGCTCTTGTGCTGGCCTCTTGGCTTGTTCCATTCAAATCCAGCTGCTTTTATCGAAGCCCGTAACACGTCATCTCGCCCTGGCACTCCAGATGTCCAGGTTTTCAGTTTAGAATAGACTCAGTCCGACAGTTAGCTTTAGATCTAATTCTAGTTTTGTTAAGCCAAAAAGTTCCTGCGAGTGTGTGTTTGTGCCTTGTGGTACTTTTTTTTTTTTGAGACAGAGTCTCGCTCCTTAGCCAGGTGCCAGGCTGCAGTGCAGTGGCGCGATCTCGGCTCCCTGCAACCTCCGCCTTCCCGGTTCACGCAATTCTCCTGCCTCAGCCTCCCGAGTAGCTGGCAGTGCAGGCGCGCGCCACCATGCCCAGCTAATTTTTTTTTTGTATTTTTAGTAGAGACAGGGTTTCACCGTGTTGGCCAGGATGGTGTCGCTCTCTTAACCTCATGATGCACCCGTTTAGGGCTTCCAAAGGGCTGGGATTACAGGCGTGAGCCACCGTGCCCGGCCGCCTCGTGGTACTTTTTAAATTAAAAAATGTACAGTCATTTGTTGGCAAACATGAGGAACCTAAATACCTTTCAAATTCAGATTTTTCACATGATCTCCTGTAGAGACTAAGATCTACAGCATCAGCAAGTTTATCCACCCAATTTCCTATCCCCAACATTGCTATGAGGTAACAGCTTCTCCTGTTTAAATAAATGCCTATTATATTTAAATAAGTGCTTTCGATTTCTGTCATCCTAGGTTGTAAAAGCATTTTAGCATAAATCTAGGGCAAGATTGGATGAGCTTGGCCTTTTTGGATGGCTATCAAGGCAGGCTTTGGGAAATGCTCCTCTGAGGAAAGAAGAACGTTTATTTTTAATGAGCTAATTACTAGATCATTATGTTTCTTCTTCCAGCTGTAGAATATCCCTGCCCATCTTCTGGAACCAACTTATTTACTTAGTGAGAATCTACTATGTGGCCAACGCTAAGCTAAGTACAGTGGAGTTCCTTTTGGAGAAGAATCCACAATCAAACTGGAAGAGGAACACAAGTTGGGAAGCAGTTAAAGGCAAACGCGTATGGTGCTTCGTTGGTTTCTTTATCTTTGTAGTGTCAAGTTTTCCTAGTCCTTTCAATTTTCACAGTACACTTTTTTTTAGGGAGTCCTGCTCTGTCGCCAGGCTGGAGTGCAGTGGCAAAATCTCGACTCAATGCAACCTCCGCCTCCCTGGTTCAAGCGATTCTCCAGCCTCAGCCTCCGAAGTAGTTGGGACTACAGGCGCCTGCCACCATGCCCAGCTAATTTTTTTATTTTAGTAAAGATGGGGTTTCACCATGTTGGCCAGGCTGGTCTCAAACTTCTGACTTCAGGTGATCCATCCGCGTGGGCCTCCCAGAGTGCTGGGATTATAGACGTGGGCCACAGCACTGGGCCACAGGCAAAGTTTTTCCCGAGTCCCAGTTATTGTGGATAATAGTAAATGCTTCATAAATAAATACCTTACAGAGAATGTTTTTTAAGGACCAGGCTCAGGTGGCTCATGCTGGTAATCCCAGCACTTTGGGAAGCAGAGGCTGGCAGATCACGAGGTCAGGAATTCAAGACCAAGACGAAGAAACCGCGTCTCTATTAAAAATACAAAAAATTAGCCGGGCGTCATGGTGGGTGACTGTAATCCCAGCTACTCGGGTGGCTGAGGCAGAGGGTGCAGTGAGCCGAGATCACACCACTGCACTCCAGCCTAGGCAACAGTGAAACTCCGTCTCAAAAAAAAAAGCCAGGCCCAGTGGCTCATGCCTGTAATCCCAGNAAAAAAAAAAAAAAAAAAAAAAAAAAGGAACGCTTTTAAAATATTACCCAAGGAATGGCAAAATTATACGGGTCCATGATTTATACCTAAGTAATCTATTGCGCAACATCAACTGGTGTTCTGAATATTGCAGTATTGGCCCAGACTTTCATTAGGTGAAAGGAGATCTCATTTCTCGTGTTTAAGAACCAAACGCCTTTAATCCCAGCACGTGGTTAGGCCGAGGCGGACGGATCACTTGAGGCCAGGAGTTCGAGACCAGCCCGGCCAACATGGTGAAACCCCGTCTCTACTAAAAATTAGCCGGACGTGGTGGCGCACGCTTGTAATCCCAGCTACTTGGGAGGCTGAGGCAGGAGAATCGCTGGAACCCGGGAGGCGGAGGAGGTTGTAGTGAGCCAAGATCGCGCCGCTACACTCCAGCCTGGGCGACAGAGCGAGACCTTGTCTCGAAACAAAACAAAAAACCAATATCTTTCAGCCCATCTGAGCCATGTTATTGTGCATTAAGGGTAGTCACTGGCCACGAGCATTTTCTCACGGCAGAGATCATTTTCTGCTCTCGCTCGGACCAAGGCTGGGCCGGAAGCGCGGAGAGGGACTGGAACGCCGGTCCCGGGGAAGCCCCGCGCGCCCCAAGGCGCACCCTGTTTCCTAGGAAGGGAGCCTGGGGTGGCAAGGCTTGCGCGGGTGGTCCTTGCCCCGCGCCAGCTCGCCAGGCCACGTCACTGGCGTTATTCCAGCGCTGGGTCACCTGCGGGCCGGCGGCGGTCCCGCGACGGACAGCTGGGCGGCATAGATCCGCCGCTCGAGTCTCCCCAGCGTCAGGTCGCCAGAGTCCCCTCTGTGACTCGCCCCACCTTGAGGTCACTTTCTTCCGCCCTCTGACTGCGGAAGGAAGGGCAGGGAGGAAGCAGAAAACCCCACGGGGCTCCGGGTGAGAGTAGGTTTTTGCCACTGTGAGCTGGTCTCTAACACTTTTTAAGTCTCAAGTCTTTTTTCTTCTTCATCTTCTTCCTCTTTCTCCTCCTCCTCCTCCTTCTTTTAAATCCCTTTTCCCAGACCCTATGTTTTCAACATGATCATAAGCCATTCCCCTCTTCCCCTCTGCCTCTACAGCTCATCCGGTATGCTTTTTACTGTCTTAAATAAAGCGGTAACAGTAATGATGTTGAGGCTTGTAAATGTGTTTTGGGGGTCATAATCTAAGGTGGTATTTGCTGAAGATTTTTCTTAAACTTGCTCATAACCATTTCGAGTGCCAAACTTAAAATACATTGTAAGTAAACATCAACATGAACCCTTTTAGGAAGAAAAAGATTTCAGTTATTTACATAGTAGCAAGGCAAACAAGACTAGTTCTTTGTGGTACATAATTGTGATTCACCAGGCTTTCAGCATAGGCTAATCACTCTGCTATTAGTCTAATTTAAAGCAGCCTTAAGTAGTTACATTTTGCCATGGCCTGCCATGTGAAAATGATTTTTAAATCTTTTTATCTGCTGTAGCTACCTCTGAAGAAAAGATGATGGCTGGCCACGGTGGCTCACACCTGTAATCCCAGCACTTTGGGAGGCCAAGCTGGGCGGATCACCTGAGGTAAGAGTTGGAGAGATACCCTGTCTGCACTAAAAACAAAAATAGCAGGGAGTGGTGGCATGCACCTGTAATCACAGCTACTTGGGAATTTGAGGCAGGAGAATCGCTTGAACCTGGGAGGAGGAGGTTGCAGTGAGCAGAGACCCTGCCACTTCATTCCAGCCTGGGTAACACAATGGGACTCCATCTCAGGGAAAAAAAAAAAAAAAAAAAAAAAAAAAAAGATTTGTAAAGGGGTATTTTAGAATGTGATTAAGCCAAGAATGTGATCAGTTCAAGGAACTATTTGGACTGAGAATCCAAATAAAATGGCGCATTAGTGTGACAGGCACTGTTCTAACGTTTGCAATTTTTGATGTGATCCTATCACCCACATTGTATAGATGGAGCAGCAATGGGCAACAGACAGCTTATGCATAATAAGCAAATAAGACATATATTCTTTTCTAAAGTTTTACCCTTTGTTTGGCACAAAAAGGTAAAATTACAGTATGCCACCTTGCTTTTTTCACCTAAAACAGCTTGGTGATATTTTCTCATGAATATATTAGGTCCCAGCAGAGCAGGATTGGAAGCCGGGTAATCTGATCAGAAAGCTAGTCCTAACCCTTACCAGCTGGCTGAGGCAGCCTGTATAATGAAAATATCAGTGGCATCAGTGTCAGAAAATTAGGGATTTAGTCTTTGCTCTTCTGCTTAGACCTTGTGACAGCCCAGCAGTTCTGAGTACATCTCTGAAATGGGCTGGCTCAGCCAGGCGCAATGGTTCATGCCTGTAATCTCAGCACTTTGAGAGGCTAAGGCAGGTGGATCACAAGGTCAGGAGTTCAGGACCAGCCTGGTCAACATGGTGAAACCTCATCTGTACTAAAAATACAAAAAATAAGTCAGGCATGGTAGCCTGCGCCTGTAATCCCAGCTACTCTGGAGGCTGAGGCAGGAGAATCTCTTGAACCCAGGAGGTGGAGCTTATGGTAAATGGAGATCAGCCACTGCACTGCAGCCTGGGCAACAGAGCAAGAACTCCATCTCAAAAACAAAAAAAAAAAAAAAAAAAAGAAAAGAAAAAAGAAATGGGTCGGCCTCCTGAGTAGCTGGAACTACAGGCACTCGCCACCACACCTAGCTAAAATTTTTTTATTTTTAGCAGAGATGAGGTTTCACCATGTTGGTCAGGCTGGTCTCAAACTCCTGACCTCGTGATCCTCCTACCTCGGCCTCCCAAAATGTTGGGATTACAGGTGTGAGCCACCGCGCCCAGGGGCTTTTTGTACCTACTTAACACCTACATCGTAATTTTAATATGCAATGAAATGAAAAGACATGGGGGCTCTTTATTAGTAGGAAAGACAGTGTTTCTACAGGGTTTTTGGAGAAAGCCTGTTCTTAATTGGTATGCCAGTGACACCAACTTGAGTCAGTAGAGAAAATAAACTCATTGGTATCTTTTTAATTGTAAGCATTTTTACATAGGTAATACATATACCCAGTAAGAAATTGTACAGAGGTTATACAATGAAATGTTACTCTCATTTTAGTAGTTTAAAGGAAGCCTGAGAATATGCCAGGGAAATTGAGGAAACTAAAGATAGTTCTATTGCTGCTCTCATAATTCCAAAACCAGGGCTTACTGGGATAAGTGCTCTCTTACTTGGTATGAAGGAAAAGATTTTCTTCTCTCACTGTTTTTTTAGTGAGTATATTTATTATTTTATTGCTACATTAGAAATGAAAATAAACTGTGAGAAGCTGCAAAAACATGCAACTTCATGAGGTTTATGAAGCAATGGAAGC